CCAGAATCACATTAGTGCCTGTCATCAGCATTATTATGGCCCTATGGTTCACGGCTTCGTACTAGCAAGCAGAAGCCCCAGCTTATCATTCATAACTGAGAATTGGCTTCTTCTACTGTCAACGCAGCTTACAGTCCTCATCTATCTAATTCAGTTAGATAGTAATTAGTTTTGTATTACTTTACACAGTGATGCTAATACTGATTACAAGGCCTGATAACTTGAGTAATAAATATGACCCAAGGCTGAAAATTACCTCTCTCTTTTATTGGTGAAAGTTGAAGTTAGTGAAATGAGACACAAATTGGTTTATGAGATGAGGCAGCTGCCTCCTGTTACAGGCTGCAGGTTTGCAGCTTAATCCTCCCCATTTCAATGTGGCTGCACAACAGGGGGGGGGGAAGAACCCAGCCACGAGGCTGAACATTTGACAGTCCCCTAGCTCGCTACCGCTAGGCTGGCGCAGGCTAATTCAGGGGTTGAGTGAGAACACAATTACACAGGGAGTATTTACGGAGGAGTGAGAGGAGTAACCATCCCTCTTCCTGCCAGCCTTGGGAAGCTGAGAGGCACATTTCTCTCCACCGCCAGTGAAGTTGGTGCAGTCACAAAACTGTGCCTCTGATTCTCCCCAGTACTGTAACGCCACTGACTTCAATGATATTGCTGCTTTATCAGTGAACCAGCAAACTCCCAGCTTTGGGCACTGGGCAGGGATACAAACACCCGGATGGATATGACCCTTTGCATTCACCGGGAGGGAATTTTACAGGTCAGTTGGAAGCGGCTTTTTTTGCCAGTGCCCCCCACGGCCATGCCCTAATAAAGTTCACCGTGTTACTCTGAAGTCAGTTAGAAGGCACCTTTATACACTAACTAAGGTGTGTGTGTATATCTAACTATCTATAGATAGGTAGATATAGATATAGATATCTATATCTATCAATATATATCTATATATATTGATATATATCTATCTATATATATACACAAAGATATAGATATGATCTATCTATCTATCTATCTATATATACACACACACAAATATATAGATATTATATATCTATATATATAGATATAATATATATACACACATAGATATAGATATATGGAGAGAGTACACACCATCTTGAACTCCAGCTCACTTTCATCAGATGCTGATGATGTGCCCTAAGAAACATGCTTTTAGCAAAACTCCCTTTGACCTCACTGGGGAGCCCTAAATATTTAGTAACTTCTCTGTCCCAGGAAATCACCATTTTTCCTGTGACCTGATTTACTACTGGTTAAATAAATTATTACACAGTGCAGTTTGCCTGGATCGGCACCCTTAAAACTTCTGTAGGCTTTTCAGGCAAATTCACAAGGATATCAGCGTGCATTTTCATAAGAGACTCGAGCGTGCCAAATCAGGACACGGGACAGAGGCTAGGGAAAGAGAGAGAGTCATGAACTTGCATGATCACCTGTCTCTTTTACACTATTTTACACTCAGTTGACTTAGATGAAATGACTCCTGATTGATACACGCATGAGATCAAAATCAGGCTCCGTGTGCACATGTGCATGTGTATGTGTGCATGCATGTGTATGTGTGTGTGTGTGTGTGTAACCCTTGGGGGGAAGATCTGCAGATAGCATAAACTGACAGCGCTCTACTGAGGTTACCTGAGGATCATCTATCCATCTCACCTTCCAGAGGAGCAGCCAAAGAAAGCAAACCTCAGCAGGTGTTTCCCCAAACTTGCATGACTATAGACAGGTTTTTGCTGCCCAGTGCTAATAAACACCAGGGAACAGCTACCTGCCTAAACCCCAGAAGCAGCGTTTGGCTCTACAAATCTCATCCATTCACCATTCAAATGAAATATTCAGCATTTCCTCTTTGAATCACTGACCTGGAAACATCCAAAGCAAGATGCAAAGTCAACTGTAAGAACCTAGGCAGCCAAGTACACCCCTAAGCATTCAGCACAGTTCTACAGGGAATTAGTCCTAAAATGAAAAAAAAAACCCAAACCCAACCCCAGTATAATAAAATTCAAATCCAATTAACAAAAAAAAGAGGGATCAAAGGGCAAACTGAAGTTATAGTAATGGCCAGTTTTATGTCCCTGTATTCCTGATCCCTGCTGTTTACACTAAGCTCAAATTCCAGTTACACTTTAATAGCCCTTAGTTCCAAATGTGACCCGAAGTATGCAGGTTGAACCCGTAGCATCAGCTTGCAAAGTCCTGTGCAGTTCAGGTATGAAGCAGGCGGGAGCACAGCTAACCAGGCCTGGGCTGAAGCCAGTTGTGACTGGGATCAGCCAAGGCACTAACTCCAGTTTCGGGCATTGAGATATTGTCAGCGGTTCACTTTGGAAACGACAGCCTCCTGCCAGGAAATTCTCCCCGCTCTGCATCCACAGCACTGAAGTGATTCTCTGCCAGGGACTGTGCTCGTTCTCCCTTGTCAACTCTCCCCCCGCACTCCTACAGGGACACATTTTCTTCCCGCTGACCTGAATGACGACAGGTCATTTGAGGGAAGGGTCCCCGACTCCCTCCGCATTACCGCCGACTGCCGCCGACTCAGAGGGGGGGCTGGGAGAGAGATTCCTGGGCATGTGATGGATATGTTAATTTGTCGCTGAATTAAACGTGGAAGGCGCTGAACTGGGCGGTGCCCGAGATGAAAGGCATGCTCGGGGATTGCATCTGGCAGCTGTGCTAAAGAAAGGAGATGCTAAAACTCTGGAAGAGATCTGCAGAGGCACAGGGCTCTCCAGGGGATCAAGAGATCGGCGACCCCACTGCTGTATGCTCCGGGTGCCCGAGGTCACCAAGGGAAGCCAGGGGAGGACCTACCCGACACCCAGCCTTTCTAGAAGCCAGGTTTTATTTAAAGCCAGTGGGCCAAATCCTGCTCCAGGTCACTCCACTGAACTCAGCCAGGCCTGAATTTGGCCTAAAGCTGGCGGCTGGAGCGAACGGATTTCATTTCCCCCAAGTAAGTCAGGACCAAAGTTTTAAACACAGCATGGAGACAGGGGGGGGAAGCATCTGATGAACCAGCCGCCCAAACTCTGGGCATCCTTGGAAGAAAATGCCGGGTGCAGAGAGGATGGGTGCTGCAAAAGGAACAGGGGTCTGGAAGCAGCTCAGAGAAAGTGCTTGCTGGATCCAAAGTTACGGAGATTTTCCCCATTGCAAACCCCACCCCAGATCCACACGCTCTTCTGCCCGTTTGAGAGGAGGCCGAGGCAGGGGGAGCAAGGAGAAGCGAGAGTAGCATTCAAGCCCCAGCTCGCCGGCATGTATTGTGTCAGGAGAAGGCAGGCGGCTGCTTCTTAAGGATCCACCGCCTGTTTAAAGCAATTCCCATCGATTTCCCTCTGCTTTGTCCAGCCTAGCGCATGCGCACGGTCCCTGGCGTGTATTCGCACACACACAATGCCTTTATATTGGTCAGTCACTTCTAGGTTTCCTGTCTTCCCACCCCTTCCAATTTGCAAGCAACTTGGGGTTTGGGTTCCCCCCCTCAATAACCTCCACATACTTTCTTTTCTCTCTTTTTCTATTTTTTTGGAACAAGGTGTTGAGCACAGACGTTCCTTTGGACGTTTCTTCCTCGTAGCAGACCCTCAGAAACACTTGGTAGGTTAAAGGAGGCTTTATCCACTACCTCTCAGTACCCAGGGCAGGGACAGAAGAGCTTATTGTTAGCCAGATAAAAAAGCATATATACAGAAAGCATCCAGGATAAGAGCCCAGCTGCTAATTGGTGCCACACTGAAAAGACTCCATCTCCATTCCTATTTATAGCTTCCCCCCCCTCCTTCCAGGCAACAGTACAATTAAATCCCACATCCTTCTGTGATCACTTTTGTTCCTTTCTGTGAAAAAGCAGAAAATAAAGACACCTTTGTTTCTTAAAAGAAGTCGAATGGACTTTTATTTCCACTCTGACCACGAAAAAAAGAAAAAGCCTTTTGCCTCCCCTTCCCCCCCACCAACTCAACAATTGCCGGGCTTGGAAAGTACAGAAAGGCATCCAAAAAAAAA